CACAAAAGCAGATCCGAGTGAAATAACACCGACAAATTTATTATATGAAACAAAATTACCACAGATCTGAGTCATGTCCAACAACGCAAACCCACCACCACTCCGAATCACCACCAAAACCAACATGACGCCGAACTGAGTTGACACAATGATCCATGCAATCTGCGAATAAGGTCTAGGTTGGTATTCTTACATAGAAATTTGACACGTTATGTATTGTAATTTACTAAAAAATGATTTTGTCAATTTACAAATTCACTTTATATGTTAATTGTGCATGTCAATATTTTTGGATAACGAGATATATTTAATTTTAGTGCACTAAATAAATAGAAAACTTATTTACAAAGGATGTTTTATAATTTAGTTACCCGGTTATGTAAACAATTAGAAGTATATTTTTATGTTTATATGCTACACTAAATAGTAGACCATGTTACGCAGACACGTAACTTGTTATTTTAACTATACATGTATATTTTCGCATAGATGGTTACNATANTGTACATNTTTAATTACNTCGTTATGTAAAAAGTTANCAGTACAATTTTATATTTATATGATACATTAAACATTTTAACAGACTATAAAANCACATAACNTGNTATTTAACTATATATTTGCATAATTCTTCACTATGCCATACATATTTTTATCAATAATATAAAAAAATATTTTTATATATGAACCGATATGCGTATGAACAGAATGCAAATGATAAAAAATTACATAAATATGCTGGAAAGAGAATGAAAGAAACATTGGTGTGATGTAATTAATGCTTTGTGAGTATTATGTTATGCGGTTATGCCTTACTGCTAGAATAACGCATTTAATGCATGTGTCAGAAGAAAAAAAACAGAACTGAGCGCGTGAGGACAATAGCGGAAGAATCGGTGGTAAAATATTCTCTTTTATGTAACAACGAAATGGATCTTGCCATTTTCTTAATTTGCCCCTTCTTTATTGCTATTCTCCAAATTGACTCTAAAACTTATTGTAATGTTGGTAACACCATGTCGTTAATTTTTTTTTTTTTTTTGATAAATCTTGGGAGTTTCGAATCTTTGGCTCATAATCTTTTCGGTACCCAAAGACAGTCTTTGGATATTCCGATTTAAAGAATAACTCTCCGTCTCAAAAAAAATTTAAAACCGAAGCACAAAAAAACCAACTCCCTTGTGTTACTACTAGGTCACCACTACTTTGGTCCATTTCGTCACTTGAGAACTTATTAGTAGATATATATCAACAATTTAAACAATAAAGTTTTTCTACCATTTCACTACGATTATTGGAATGTTTTAAATGCTTTATTAGCGCGACATAGAACTAATTACAACTACGTTTTAACAATTGGTTCGCTATTGATTTTTTAAAATCTTCTATATTTATCTGGATGATCGTGATCACCATGAGCAATATGCTAAAAGTCGAACTACTTGTAAAAGCAGTTCAAATACTATTTTATGAATCACCCTAACATTAAAAAACGAAATTCATAGAAGCTATTGTTGAGCTATACTTATTGGGAAACAACTAGGATAGTGAAAGGCAGAATGTACACATACAAATTACTATTTTCAGGATTTAATTGGTCAAATGGAAAAGAGTTTTCAGTAAGCGAATACTATTATAAATTTTAAATTATTGTTCCACTTAATTAGTGACTTAACATTAGTAAGTGGGAATTTTAAGACAAAAGATTCCCTATATCTCTCCAATTATTTTTTGGTTCTGAAATTGGTCACTGTG